TGTGTATCTTTACTACATTATTAATCAGTAATTAGTATGATTGGCAATGAAAGGAAGGTATGGAAGGAATGGGAGTGTGTATCATAGTATAGCATAGAGGGGGAGCCACTCCACTTTTTGACTTGCCAAAGACTCTTAGGGATGCGTGCATTTGGCCTTTCACTTTTTCTTTTTCTAAAGGAACAAGGCAGGCTGATGAACTCCTCCACCCTCACCAATACTCCCTCTCTTAATCCCTCAATTCTTCTTGTTTCTTTTTTGGGCGTTAAATTGCCTCTGCTATATCTTTTCCTTTGAGGCACATGCAAAATTTGACTAAGGTGTGGTCCACATGCGTTCACTGTTTCACCATACACACACCGATTAAAGGTCTGTGAATAAAAGGGTTGAGGGGAAGGCAAAGCATAAAACCCAAACCCAAACCCAACACCGCTCTCTCTTCATCAAACTCTCTGTTCCTCATTCAACGCCCAAAAAACACAAACAAAACCCCTCTTCAGCTTCACCATTGCAACCACTACTAGTTTAATGGACGATTCTTACTCCCTGAAACCCTGTAGAACTCACTTACCAGAAAGCCCAAGAGCGCCGATGGAGTTCCTCTCTCGCTCATGGAGTGCCTCAGCCCTCGAAGTCTCCAAGGCTCTGGCACCCCCTCCTCCTTCAATGCCTATGCCCATGCCTATGCATTTACCTTCAAAATCCGCCAGTGGGTCTTCCTGTACTACGTCGTCTATTCCCGAAGACGTCTCCGGCGAGTTGGAGGAGTTCCCTATTCATCATGGGAACGGAAACCACTTCTCTTTTTCTTCTACCGCCACGTCTCAGCTGGTGCTTGATCGCATAATGTCACAATCCGTCAGAGAGGTCACAAAATTTGAATCACAATCCGCCAGTGGGCTTGGGTTTAAGAAGTTTGTTGATTAGAATTTTGGGTTTGTTTTGTTTTTGGCAGGAGGTGTCGCCGTTGACGTCCGGGAGGCTTTCACACAGCAGTGGGCCTTTGAACGGCGGGTCTTTGACGGAAACAGACAGCCCGCCGGTGTCGCCTTCGGAGGAATTCGACGACGTCGTTAAGGTAACAAAGAAATCTCTCTTAAATTTCGAATTTAGGAGACAACTACTCTGTTTCCTCTGTTACTAGCAGCCTTCTGTTTCACAGTCTGTCTGCAGTGTGTTCTAAGGCAAGTCGGCTGCAGCTTTTTTCGTCTTCTTTTAAGTTGCATTTATTTTCCTTTTCTCGAGAAAATAGTTTAAAATAAGTTGCAATTTTTAATTTTTAATTTCTAGTGGTAAAATCATAGTGTGAACTTCCATAAACTCGTGTAATTTTACTTTATTTTTGGTGTTATACTTCAAAATTTTGCTTTTAATTCCCACCTTTTTGTAAAAATAGATGAATTTAACAACTAAATAAAATATTCAAAGAAGAAAAATTGGAAATTTGGAAAAAGTTAGCCGCGTTTTTTAACTCGTTAAATAATTTAAATTGCATGATCTTTGTAAAGAACGTTAAGAAAGAAATATTTTTAAAATATAAAAGCATATTTGGTTGGATTGTTCCTTCCTAAAGTTACCTGCGACGGTTAATAAAAGCAGCTCAGCCATGGATCTATTAATGGTTGCATAAATAATGGCTTTCAGCTTCACAGTAAACACTACATTCATTCTCATTCATTATCTTCGACCTTCCTCTATTTGCAGTTCTTTCGAGCAAATCACAGCATTCAGCCCTTTTTCACTAACGGCCGTGCAAGTGCCGGAAATGTCGGTGGAACAGCCGGCGGAGCATCGAAGACGGTGGGCAGGTGGCTGAAGGACAGAAAAGAGAAGAAAAAAGAAGAGAACAGAGCCCACAATGCCCAACTCCACGCCGCTGTTTCGGTTGCTGCAGTGGCAGCTGCGGTGGCCGCTATTGCAGCTTTCCAAGCTGCTTCTTCCTCGTCAAAGAAGAACGAGCAGTCGGCTAAGACGGATATGGCGGTGGCCTCGGCCGCTACCTTGGTCGCTGCTCAGTGTGTGGAGGCGGCGGAGGCAATGGGGGCCGAAAGAGACCACCTTGCTTCGGTCATTAGCTCTGCTGTCAACGTTAGATCTCATGATGATATCTCTACTCTTACCGCTGCGGCAGCCACAGGTAGGGCATTAATGAAGTGTTAATGGAAAGAAGGGAATTTATTGAAAATGAATCCTAATACTTTATCTTTGTTTTTTTTTTGTAGCTCTACGGGGAGCAGCAACACTCAAGGCAAGAGCACTAAAGGAAGTATGGAATATATCATCTGTGTTACCAGTGGACAAAGGAGCAGCAACGAAAGGCAACATGCAGCACACAAACGGCGGTCATAACCAAGAGGCAGAGCCTCACCAACCTGAGAACTTCCACTTCGCTCACACCCAAGATCTGCTTGCAAGAGGCACCGAGCTTCTCAAGCGCACGCGCCAAGGTGTTCTTTCGGAGCTGATTTTGTGAACACTTACTTCCCATATGGAAATAACACATGGGTGTAATGGGTTTGAGTTGGTAATGATGCAGGGGATCTTCACTGGAAAATAGTGTGTGTTTACATTCACCGCAGTGGGCAGGTGATGCTGAAGATGAAGAGCAAACACGTTGCAGGAACACTGACCAAAAAGAAGAAGAGTAAGTGATGAGTGAATATTGATTGTAACAACTCGGGAATTAGAATATTGATGGTTGTTGTGGTTGTTGTTGTTGGGAGTGCAGACGTGGTGGTGGGCGTATGCAAGGACGTGGCAGCATGGCCAGGACGACACTTGTTCGAGGGCGGAGAGAAGCGGCGTTACTTTGGGTTGAAGACAGAAATGCGAGGCATAGTTGAGTTCGAGTGCAGGAGCCAGAGAGAGTACGATCAGTGGACACAAGGTGTTGCAAGGCTCCTTTCCATGGTAGCTGATTCAAAGAGCAGATATTAGATCGATGAAAGTGGTTGGTTTGAGTAGTGTACACAGGAGGGAGGGAGGTAGGGAGATGTGAATCAGTTGTGGCAGCAAATCCCAATAAAAACCATTGTTTTTTTGGTTTCAACGATCATTAACTCATCAATTGTGGCAGTATCTACTTGCAAATTCACACATTACTCATCAATTCAAACAAAATCCATGCCTCTTTCAACCAATTGTTTAGTTCAATAATTGAGTTGCATTTCTCCGTAAGGCCCACATTTTGGGCCCACGACAAAGAAAAAAAAAAAATATATATATATATAAAATAAATAAATAAATAAACCCATCCGCCACCTGCCTGCTCTTTTCCTTCTTTTTTTGTTTCACGTTTCTCCCTTCAGCCACGGCCCCGCAACCGATTGCTTCCACACCGTTCCGCCCCTTCTCATATTAGACAACATCTGCCCAACACCACATCGCCGCCTCGCCACCGCAAGGGAACGACATCGTCGTTGCCAAAACCGACTTCAAGAGGGTTAGACGTAGCAAAGGTTCAACGCCTGCGAAGGAGGAAGGCTCGATTCGAGGGGAATCGGATCGTCGTTGGTTAGGAAACGCAAAGAACGTAGCTTCTCAGGTAAGGGACTCGCCTGTTGAAAATAAATGTTTTGTTTTTTTGAAAATGGGTTGAATGGAATCGTCTATGGGCTAGGTGCTGGGTAACCCGTTGCCGGGAACAATCTGATCTTTGTGTGTAATGTTATGCAACCTGGTTGACATGTATCTTGATTGCTATGTATTCTGATTGTCCTATGTTCTGATTGGCGTATGTTCTAATTGGCGTATGTTTTGATTGTCGTATGTTCTGATTGCGGCATATTCTGATGGTTGCGTAATCAAATGGTTGTGTATTCGGATCGTAGGGTAATATGGTTAGGTTGGGCAGTCTGACGATATGTGTCTATTGCCGACATAATGGGCTTGTAGGTAGACATGAGTAAGGGTTGTGGTAATAGTTACTCGCTGTGTGTTTCGGGTAACTAGCCACCACTAGTCACATTTGGGGGTGGTTACAAAAAAAAGACTATCCAGTAATGGTTACACGCTGTGTGTATTGGGTAACCAGCTGTTGATAGTCAATGGGAGGAAATAAGGAGGTGAGGTCCTCGTGGAAATAGTTACACGCTGTGTGTATCGGGTAACCAGTCGTTGATAGTCAATGGGAGGAAATAAGGAGGTGAGGTCCTCGTAATAATGGTTACATGCTGTGTGTTTCGGGTAACCAAATAGGAGTATCCTCTTTAAGGATTGAAAGTGGTGGTCACCTGCTGCGTGTTTTGGCTAATCGCCTTATGACGATTCATATCTTGACCCCCAATAGGGAAGTTCCTTACGGAGTATTTTTATACTCACCCTATTTTTTTTAAAAATGATTTTTCAGGCGAAGCTGTGGCACGGAGGTGACGAGTAGGATGCCAAAGTCAGTCATGAGGCGATTCAAGAATATTTATGTTTTTTGCCTGTAGTCTCATTTTGGTGGGAGAGCTCTTTTGTAATAATTTAAACTATGATGTGGACGCCTAGTTTGTGGGAGCTAGGCGGCCAACATCAGCCTTTCTTTGATTTAAATTTCCTCCTTGTTTTAAATAGTGTTAGGCGGCATTATTTTGCTAAATTTTAAAGGAGTACCCCGCACATGATTTGTAATAAAATTCTGCATGCTTTTCATCCTTTTTCCAAATAAATTGCATTATCTTTCATAATGACCTTGACCGCTACCGTCAGGATAAGTCGGGTCGTTACATACCCTGTTAACTATGTTCTTTTCTTTTTGCTGGCGGATATTAAAAATGTATATCTGGTTTGTGATAAGCTAATCAAGCTAGTTGATGCAGCAATTCAAATCAACTCAGACACTTATATGCAGTAGTTCTTATTATATTCCTGTTTTGAAGAGAATTATACGCCTCCTAACAACACCAGATAAAGCAAAAGACAGAGAAAAGAAAAGAAAAGAAAAGAAAAAGAAATGCTTGTGGTTGAAGAAGAGAATATTTTTGGTAGCTTAAAGGAAGATTATACACACATTTGATATGTGTTTTGGAAGAGAGATGAGATGCCATATTTTATATATAAAGGACACCATATTTGTGGAGAAGGTGTGCATAAGTTCAGTATTAAGGAGGAGAGTATGAACGAGAAGCACGAAGCAACGTTACGAGATTTTCTTTACATAAACACGAAGAGAACGGAATGGGAGAAAGTAATTAAGAAGTATGAGAAACACCCAGAAGCTCAAGGGTTGAAGCTGACCCGAAATGGCGACACCGCGCTGCATTTGGCTGTTCTTGACAATCGGGAAGAAATGGTGCAAAAGCTTGTGAACCGCATAAAAGACAGTAAGCGCGATGAACTTCTTGAGACTACAAATGACAGGAAAGAAAATCCTCTCCACCTTGCTGCGCAGATGGGGAGCGCCACAATGTGCTACGCCATTGCTTCAGCCCATCACAAGTTGGTAGAAAAGAGAAACAAAATCGACGAAACACCTCTGTACTTGGCGGCTGCGTCTGGCAACAGGGACGCCTTTTTTTGCCTTTACCATTTTTGCAGAGACCTCGACTCTGGAATCACCGCCAACTGTAGATTGTCGAGCAATGGAGACACCGTGCTACATTCAGCCCTCCGAAACGATCACTTTGGTGAGCTTTTTTACTACATTATTCTCCACTCACTTTCAGCTTGGTTGAGTTTGATTTTGAGAAGATTCAGAAGTTGAGCCACAGATTTGGCATTTCATATACTTCACCTGCACAATGAGGCCATGCACTGGGTGACCAAGGATGGCGTGACGCCTCTCCATGTTCTAGCGAGTAAGCCAACAGCCTTCAAAAGTGGAAGCCAAATCAGGGGATGGCGGAACATCGCGTATTACTGTGAGTGTCCCACCAAAACTTCCATCTCAAACTCCCTTTAATCTCCCCTTACTAAAACTTGATTCTTGGAAGGAAGGCACACATGTGGATCAACTAAACCCTCAACCAATAGACTCCCTTATCAGAGACTGGATCGACCGTATGTCCAACCCAAACACTTCTACTCCCTGTTTTCCGGCTAACTACGAGACATGCATCGACTTCTTCACATGGGTGTGGGATGGATTTTTAAAAGGTTCATACCAACCAAATAAACCTTCCTAATTTCATACCCCAATTCTTTCATTCTTATGCAAACATTGCAGGCAGCGGTTTGAAACGAATATGCCACGATTTCAAAAATGATGAATCGAAGAAGGATACAGATGATGCGGGGAGAAATATTATGGTGGAAGGTGGTGAAAGTTCGGAGGCTGCTGAACCCCACCAACGTCTGGATACTCAACTTCTTAAAGCTCATGGATTGGGTATATAGCCATAAGCAATGAGGTGCTAGGTCCCTTAGTTTTATAAACTATAACAAAATACTCATTCTTGTTCATGGCAGCGAAGGAGGCCTCAATTACAAATGTCCCCCGAAACTACAATACCTGCATCCACTTTTTTCAAATTGTTTTCTCGGCCATCTTGATCAGTCTTGGGTGGGGTACGTGCTATGCATTACTGTTTTCTCAATACTCCAGCAGTGAACTAATTTAAGGGTGTGCTGAAATGAATGCTGACGAGTTCTTGAATTAACTAACTAATTCAAGGATCTGCTGAATTCAAAAAGATACGGAGGCAGAAAGAGAAACACACTTGGTCAGTTCAAGTGATGGAGAAGCTTCTTGAATATGCTGCACCCGATGAATATGACTGCAACGGAGGAATTCCCATGGATTCAACTTCTCAAACACCCGACCAAGCTGGTGTTACGCTTCCTTACTCCTTCCAAGATGATGACGTCCTGTTCAGTGTTCACATTGAGAGTAAACCAACAGAAGCAGAGAAGCCAAAGCCAAAGGATTTCCAAGGTTTACTATTTCTTTACTTATATATGTAGCTATTTTGGTTGATTAATTAAATAGTTGGTTTGCGATTATATGAACACCACCAGAGACACCAATGTTATTAGCAGCAAAGAATGGAGTGATTGAGATTGTGAAGGGAATGTTCTGTCGTTTTCCGTTGTCCATCTATGATGCTGGGAAAGATAAGAAGAACGTGGTGCTGTTGGCTGCCGAGTATGGACAGCCGGACGTGTACAGATTTTTACTCAGCCCCAAAGTTTACAAAGAAAACCTGTTTCGAGCCGTGGATGATAATGGGAACAGTGCGCTGCATCTGGCAGCCGCCGCCTCAAAGTCCATGATTTGGCGCATCACCGGAGCTGCGCTGCAGATGCAATGGGAAATTAAGTGGTATAAGGTAATATTATTAATTGTTAGCCAATATATTGTACAGTCTTGGAGAGGTAGATTTGATGAAAAGCAATTGAAAATGTTGTGGGCAGTTCGTTGAGGAGTCTGTGCCGCTCTACTTCTTTGCCCACTATAACAAGGAAGGAAAGAATGCGACCGCAATCTTCCATGAAACCCACATGGATCTGGTGCAAAAAAGCGGAGACTGGCTGATTAAGACCTCCAAGTCCTGCTCTGTGGTGGGTGCCCTGATTGTAACCGTAGCATTTACTTCCGTTGCCAGCATCCCAGGTGGGTTTAACCCCCGCGACGGCTCCCCATTCCTTCAAGATCGGGAAGCCTTTTTTACGTTCGCCCTTTTTTCCCTCATCGCCCTCTGCCTCTCTTCAACCTCAGTCACCATCTTTCTTGCCATCCTCACCCATCGCTTTGACGCCAATGACTTCAGAACAAACTTGCCTTGGAAACTCTTCATCGGCTTTTCCTCGCTTTTCGGTTCCATCATCTCCATGTTGATTTCCTTTTGTGCGGGCCACTACTTTCTGATGCATCGACACATTCCACATCACGCTGCTTTGCTCTACACCATTGTTCTTGTCCCCGTCGCATTAATCTTCATTATATCCAAGCTTCCTCTCTACATAGATGTGGTGCAGGCTATTTTCAAAATAGTGCCCAAAAGGAGCGCCCATGTCGTCCTATCTGATCCGCTACCGCTCCACACTCCTTCCGTTAAACCTTTCCGAAAAGGAAAATTTGAGGTAACGTCGACCGCTATGGAGGATTCTGACGCCTTTTCACCTTCAACCCCATTGTCGATCCTCGCGCCCACCGCCCAAGGTTCGTATCCTCTCCTCTTCTTCCTTCCTGGCTGCGCCGCCGAATACGACTACTCCCATTTCCTCCAGCGTATAGCTTCACAAGGGTTGGTTATAGTTTGCCCACTACAGGTACGTTGTTTATGATGAGTATGATTTGATTTTGGATTATTATCCTATCTTGTACGTTGAACTAAATGATGGGTAGATGAGAGCGAAGGCAACAAGGAGTGAAGCCAACGAAACATCACAATTTAAAACTTGGGACGCGGCAGACCGAGAAATGGTGGAGGAAAGGCTATCAGGAGTGGTGGCAGAGTTGAAAGGAGGGAAAACAAAATCATGGTCGTTAGCTTTAGGCTACGACCGCCCTTGGAATCCACTTTCAGGGGTGATTGGGTTGGAGCCTGTGCCCGGGACCAAATTCCGCATCCGAGAGTCTGAGATTCAGACCTACCTGGACCACCAACCCTCCAACATATCCGGAGGCCCAGTTGTTGAAAGTCAACTTGTAGTTTCCAAGTTATGCGGAACTGTAAAACAGTTGGTTTCCGAGGAGTCTTCTTCTTGATTCCTTCTGAGACTTGGTTTTTAAAACATGAAATGAAAGATTATGTATTTTGGTTTCAATAAATTTGGTATCTATAACGGCTTAAGATATACAAAGTTTGCAATCCTTAATAGCTTAAGATATATATATGTCCACAAAGTTTGCAATCTTTAACAGCTTAAGATATATATATGTCCACAAAGTTTGCAATCCTTAATAGCTTAAGATATATATATGTCCACAAAGTTTGCAATCCTTAATAGCTTAAGATATATATATGTCCACAAAGTTTGCAATCCTTAATAGCTTAAGATATATATATGTCCATAAAGTTTGCAATCCTTAATAGCTTAAGATATATATATGTCCACAAAGTTTGCAATCTTTAACAGCTTAAGATATATATATGTCCACAAAGTTTGCAATCCTTAATAGCTTAAGATATATATATGTCCACAAAGTTTGCAATCTTTAACAGCTTAAGATATATATATGTCCACAAAGTTTGCAATCCTTAATAGCTTAAGATATATATATGTCCACAAAGTTTGCAATCTTTAACAGCTTCCCGATGAAGGAAGTAAAGTAAAGTAAAGTAAAGTAGAGTAAATCCTATTTTGGAGTTTCTTAAATTATCAACCAACTAAAGTACAACACTTTTATCACAAACCTCACCTCCTCTAAAATCCTATAATTAATCATTAATCATTAATCATTAATCATTAATCATTAATCATTAATCATTAATCATTAATCATCTATCTTTTCCATTTGCTTCATCACGCTCATGAACCACCCGACTTTAAAAAAAGACAAGCTTTTACTAAATAGGGGGCAAACCGATATCAATGTTGCATGTTTTGAAGACTACAAAGATTAAAAATGAATCAAAATGGACAAAAATAAAATTTAAACCAATATTTAGGCAAAGAAGAAAAAGAAAAAGAAAAAGAAAAAGAAAAAGAAAAAGAAAAAAAGGAAAAAAGGTGAGGTATAAAAGAGAAGAGTGTGGATTATATATGTTGTTAAAAGCAATTTAGAATATCTAACTTTTATTTTTACTACATATATCGTTGCTTCACCCTTTTATATTATTGCTTGGCCCTTTTATAAAAGCAAAAAGTTAAAGCGGGGTTACACGAGACTCACAAAAAATTCATATCTTCAAATCTAAGTTGGCACAATCTTATAAGTTTCTAAAAAGTTAAAATTTTAAAAAGACACAAAATAACATGTTTATATAAGCCGGTTGTTAGGAATAGCCCTTTGATGAAGCCTGCCCACCCGCGTTCATCTAAACCTAATGAGAAGGGCGTTACATTAAAGTGCACCACCATAAAAGCACAAAGTTGAAGCCAATAAGAATGCTTGTGGCCTAAGAAGGGAATTTTTGCATTACCCTAAAGCGTTTATCACACAATTGATGTTTGTTTAGTATTTTTAGATAAACCCAAGCGCTATAAGTGCTTCATATTTGTAGGACTAAGAGCACGTTTTGGGGAAGTAGGCGGCGTGCATTAATAAATTTAAAGAGACTAGGAGAAGGTGCGCAGAAAGTGAAGACAATGAATGATCAGAACATTGCAAAATCACGAGAATTGTATGGACACGCAAAGAGGGGGCAATGGAAGGACGTGATTGACAAGTATAAGGAGTATAAGGAAGTGTTTGAGAATGAGGATTATAAGGAAGTGCTTAAGAAGTATAAGGAGAATAAGGAAGTGCTTGAGAAGTATAAGGAAGTGCTTGAGAAGTATAACCCGAAGCTGAACCGACGGGGCGACACGGTGCTGCATTTGGCTGTGATTGACAATCAAGAGGCAATAGTGGAAGAACTTGTGAAAATCGTTGAGGTTCTAGAGATTACAAATGAGAGTGGAAACAATTCTCTCCACCTTGCTGCAATGATGGGGAGCGTAAGAATGTGCGAAGCCATTGCTTCAAAGCATAATGGGTTGGTGGACAGGAGAAACAACGACGACAAAACACCTCTGTTCTTGGCGGCTGCGTATGGCAACAAGGACGCCTTTTTTTGCCTTTACAATTTTTGCAGAGACGACGCCTCTCGAATCTCCGCCAACTGCAGAGTGAAGCAGGATGGAGACACCGTGTTACATAACGCCCTCAGCGATGAGCACTTTGGTGAGCTTTCATTTCTTTTTTTCTCCTCTTCCCAAGTTTGAAGTTTAAAATTAATTGGGTTGAGATGCCAGATTTGGCGTTCCAATTAATTAACATGCACAAGGAGGCTATAAGCTGGGTGAATGAGGCAGGCCTAACCCCTATCCATGTTCTAGCCAGAAAGCCAACTTCCTTCAAAAGTGGTAGCCACATCAAAGGATGGCAGCACATCGTGTATCACTGTGAGTTTTTTTCACCAAAAGTTTGTAATCTTTAAATGTAGGTATGGTGGTAACATAGTACTACAAATGTTTTCAGGCTCATTTGTGAAACCACTACAGCCTCGATCATTTGAGAAGCTGAAGCAAGAGTCGGAGCGAAGTACGGAGAAAGCAAAAGAGACAGCTCCTCCTTCCCCTTTTCCGGTTAACTACCAGACATGCATCCACTTTTTTAGGGGGATGAAGGATATAATTTTGACAGGTGGGTATACGTATTATCTTAATATATCCTTCTCCTACTAATCGCACAACCTACATAATACTTTCTCCTACCCAAACATACAGCCTGCCATTTCAAATGCCACAACAACAATGACACGAACAATGATGGAGACGGGAAGAAGAATATTGCCAAAAATGATGGAGACAAGAGGAACGGAGACTTGGAAGAACAGAAGCCTCTGAACACTAAATCAGGTTTATGTATACGCAACAAGCTTTACTTACAACTTCAGTTCAACCCTCTCAAACTTATATTCATATGTAACATAACATTCATTGTTGTTGATGGCAGCCACAGAGCCCCCAACTACAGACTTCCCCGTAAACTACACCACTTGCATCGATTTTTTTCATATTGCCTTCTCGGCCATCATGATCATTCTTGGGTTCGGTATGTATTATGCGTTGCTCAATACAAGTGGGGTTGAGTCTAATTAATTGTGTGCTTCTCCAAAATTAAATGAAGGATCCACTGAAATCAAAAAGATACGGAAGAAAAAGGAGAAACACACCTGGTCGGTTCAAGTGATGGCGAAACTTCTTGAATTGGCTGAGCCCGACAAATATACAGAGGATGGAAACAGTCCCATGGATTCCAAATTTCGTAACGACGAAGAAAATGGAGTTACGCTTCCTTACAACTTTGTAGATAATGAGGTCCAATTCAGTAATTTCTTCAAGGAACCAAAAGAATTAGAGAAGCCCCAAGACGTGGAAGGTTCACTACTTTTCTGTTACTTATTTTGTTGCTTTTTGGATGTATCATTAATTGTATATACTACATTGTGATACCAACAGCACCCGAGTCGGCGATGTTATTAGCAGCAAGGAATGGAGTGATTGAGATCGTGAAGGGAACTTTGGAACGTTTTCCGCTGGCAATCCGTGATACTAGGAAAGATAAGAAGAATGTGGTGCTGTTGGCCGCGGAGCACAGGCAGCCGGACGTCTACAGGCTTTTACTCAAGAAAGGAAAAGAAATACAAAACCTGTTTCGAGCGGTGGATCATGAGGGCAACAGCGCCTTACATCTCGCAGCAACCGCCATAGATCCAAAGCTTTGGCGCATCACAGGAGCTGCATTGCAGATGCAGTGGGAAGTTAAGTGGTATAAAGTAAGTATTGCACACGCACGCACACACAGCTTTTTCTATTAAGAAGAAAAGAAAAAAAAAAAAAAAAATGACAAGTGATTGAATGGAAAATTTGGCAGTACGTGAAGGGGTCTGTGCCACTCCATTTCTTTCCCTACTGGAACCACCAAGGAAAAACTGCAAGTGCAATCTTCCGGGAAACCCACAAGGAACTTGCGACAAAGGGTGGGGCGTGGCTTTACAGTACCTCAGAATCATGCAGTCTGGTGGCAACCCTGATTGCAACGGTAGCTTTTGCAACCGCAGCCACCATCCCAGGCGGCAACGACGAGACTGGTGGTGCAAAACTGGGAGACGAGCAAGGGTTTTTAATCTTCTCCTACTCTTCCCTAATTGCCCTCTGCCTCTCTTCAACCTCAGTCATCATGTTTCTAGCCATCATGACCTCCAGGTTCGATATCAAAGACTTCGGGTTAGCGTTGCCCTGGAAATTGCTGATCGGCTTGTGCTGCCTTTACTTTTCGATCATCGCCATGTTGGTTTCCTTCTGTTCGGGGCACTACTTTCTGATCATCAAACGTCTTCACAACGAAGCCATTCTGCTGTATACACTTACTTTCTTCCCTGTGGCATTGATCTTCGGTATTGTGCAGCTTCCTCTCTACTTCGATTTGCTGCAGGCTCTTATCAAAAGAGTGCCTAGAAGAAGCGCCGAGGTCGTCCTATGCGATTTGAGCGTGCGGTGCGGTACAAGTAAAAACAAGGATTGTCCTAAACCTCCAGATTCTCTTCTTTTTCGTTGTAATGGATAAATTTAGTGATCTCTGGGAGTGACCCTTTTTCCTTTTCTGTATTCTTGGTTTTTCTGTCTGGAAATTGATCTATTTTAAAACATTGTGTAAAACCCAGTCTTGGTTTCGTAGCTTTCATTAAAAAGCGTGCGTATTGATTAAGGAGAAAGAATGAAACAGAATAAATGGAATTAATGGGTGAAGGTGTTGTCATCGACCACTGAAATGAAATCCAGAATGAGGAGTGAATCCTTCAACCTATCCGCACCAAACACAGTTATCGGAACCGGGCTGGGCCCCCTGATAAGGCCGACATGTTCTCGTGGGCCCAATGGGTACACATCCACCTACAGTTTTTCCGAAACAGCAAGCCCACTTGCGCCCACTTCCACCGTATGAGGAGTTGTTGCAGTGGCCTTGTGGTTGCCTCAACTCATTTTTAAACGCCATTTATGTCATGCCCCTTGTATCTTAAATGAACAAGAAACATGATATCATCTCTTTCCTTGTATCTTAAATGTTCAATTATTTAGTTTAACAACAAACTAAAAGTCTATATAATCTGTGCACATAGTCTAGTCTTCCCAAAATTCGGAAATATGATCTCCGTCTCCTATCGATTTAGAGAACGTACACAAATCACTCATCATTCTTGTCACATTTTCTTTTAAACAAGGATTATGAAGAAGGAGGGCAGTGTATATAAGAATAAGAAAGCAGGTTCACGAGATTTTCTTTACACAAACACCAAGGGAGAAATGGGAGGCAGTAGTTAAGAAGTATGAGAAATACCCAGAAGCTCAAGAGTTGAAGCTGACCCGATATGGCCGCACGGCGCTGCATTTGGCTGTTATTGGCAATCTTCAACAACTTGGCGATGAAGTAAAGTAAAAGCATTTGAAAACTCTCTTTCTATTATAGTTTCTTAAATTATGAACCAACCAAAGAAATAACACTTCCATCACAAAATCCTATGATTAATCATAACATGTTGTTGAAAAACTTTGAACTACTAGGGTTTGCTTCCTGCTCATGAACAAAAGGACCTTAAAAAACAAGCTTATACTATACTATAATATAATATATATTCTTTTTCTTATTTGTAATAATATAAAGATTAAAACCAAGCTTTTAAAAGGGAAGGAATCAAAATGGACATACAAATTTAAACCAAACAAACAATATTTACTAATTAAAGAAGAGAAGAAAACAAGAAAAGAAAAAAAAAAGAGGGTTGATTATAGGTGTTTATAGAATATTTAATTTTTATTATATATAATTATTATTAATGGACCCCTTTTGTAAAACCAAAGCATCCTTACATGAGACTATCACAAAATTCTTACCTTCGAATCAAAGTCTTAAGAGATAGTAGGTGTACTAAGCACACACTTACTCTACTCAAAATGGCATGTCCGTATGTGGCAACACTTAGACGTTGGACATGTGATAATGAGTAGACGCAAATACAAAACTCTGTTAGGAATAGTCCTTGAATGAAGAAACCTAATTCTGGGTGTTGGAGAAAAAAAGAAAAAAATGAAGTTATTGAAGCTACTAAGATGCTTGTGGCTCAAGGAGAGAATTTTTGGATACGTAAAGCGTTTATCATCTTTGTTTACTACTTTTACAGAATCCCAAGCGCTGTCGGGGATCCTTATTTATAGGAGTAAGGTACATGATAATAAAGGCCATGTGCATCAATTAAACAACAAACTAAGAGCGAAGAGAATGTCGTCTCATGGTAACAATACCCCATTCGCAAGGTTTCGTGAAAACGTGAGAACGCGGAATTGGAAGGCAGTGATTGAGGAGTATGAGAACAACCGAGAGGCTCAGAAGCTGAAGCTGAACCAAGAGGGCGACACGGCGCTGCATTGGGCTGTGATGGACAATCAAGAAGAAACAGTGAAAAAACTTGTGGAAAGCGTTAAGAAAGACGAAGATAATTGCAAGCATATTCTAGAGACTAGAAATGAGAGGGGAAACAATCCTCTCCACCTTGCCGCAATGATGGGGAGCGTGAAAATGTGCCACGCCATTGCTCATGCCCATGGGGAGTTGGTGGACGAGAGAAACGAATTGGACGAAACGCCTCTGTACTTGGCGGCTGCGTGCGGCAACAAGAACGCCTTTTTTTGCCTTTACTGCTTTTGCGGAGATGACTCAAACACAATCAGAACCAACTGCAGAGTGAAGAACATGGGAGACACCGTGCTACATCAAGCCCTCAGAAACGACCAGTTTGGTGAGCTTTCTTTCCTTTCTCCTCTTCCCAAGTGTGAAGTTTAAAATTAATTGCGTTGAGATGGCAGATTTGGCATGTCAATTAATTAACATACACGAGGAGGCTTCGAACTGGAGGAATGAGGCAGGCTTCACCCCTCTCGAAGTTCTAGCCAGTAAGCCAACTTCCTTCAAAAGTGGAAGCCAGATCGAAGGATGGCGGCACATCGTGTATCACTGTGAGTTTTTTCCCCAAAAGTTTATAGTTTTTAAATATAGGTATGGTGGTAACATAGTACTACAAATGTTTTCAGGCTTAATTGTGAAACCACTAAAGCCTCGATCAATTGAGAAGCTGAAGCAAAAGTTTAATCCAAGTAAACCCAAAGCAAAAGAGGCAGCTCCTCCTTCCCCTGTTCCCCAGAGCAAAAGATCAATTGAGAAGCCGAAGCAAGAGTCGGAGCGAAGTATGGAGAAAGCAAAAGAGGCAGCTCCTCCTTCCCCTGTTCCCCAGAGCAAAAGATCAATTGAGAAGCCGAAGCAAGAGTCGGAGCGAAGTATGGAGAAAGCAAAAGAGACAGCTCCTCCTTCCCCTTTTCCGGTTAACTACCAGACATGCATCCACTTTTATAGGGGGATGAAGGACATAATTTTGAGAGGTGGGTATACGTATTATCTTAATATATCCTTCTCCTACTGATCTCACAACCTACATAATACTTTCTCCTACCCAAACATACAGTCTGCCATTTCAAATGCCACAACAACAATGACACGAACAATGATGGAGACGGGAAGAAGAATATTGCCCTGCCATTTCAAATGCCACAACAACAATGACACGAACAATGATGGAGACGGGAAGAAGAATATTGCCAAAAATGATGGAGACAAGAGGAACGGAGACTTGGAAGAACAGAAGCCTCTGAACACTAAATCAGGTTTATGTATACGCAACAAGCTTTACTTACAACTTCAGTTCAACCCTCTCAAACTTATATTCATATGTAACATGACTTTGATTGTTGTTGATGGCAGCCACAGAGCCCCCAACTACATGCTTCCCCGGAGACCATTCCACTTTTTTCCGTATTGCTTTCTCCGCAATCATGATCATTCTTGGATGCGGTATGTATGTATTATGCATTGCTGAATACAAGTGGAGTTGAGTCTAATTAATGCTGCTTCTCCAAAATTAAATGCAGGAACCAATGAAATCAAAAGGATACGGAAGAAAAAAGAGAAGCACACTTGGGCGGTTCAAGTGATGAACCAACTTCTTGATTTGGCTAAAGGCTATGTATATGGAGACGATGGAAAAAGTCCCATGGATTTCAGATTTCAGAACCAGAAAGAAGAAGAGAAAGATACAGTTCCTTACGACTTTGTAGATGATGTGGTCGGATTCCGTCATTTGTTTGAGGAGGAACCAAAACAATTAGAGGTGCCCAAACAATCGGGGAAGCCCAAAGATGTGGAAGGTTTGCTACTTTTTTGTTATTTATTTTGTGTTGGTTTGTAGATGTATGAGTAATTATATACTAGATTGTGATATGAACAGCAACCGAGTCGGCGATGTTATTAGCAGCAAAGAATGGAGTGGTTGAGATTGTGAAGGGAATGTCCAGTCGTATTCCGCTGGCTATCTATGATACTAACAAAGATAAGAAGAATGTGGTGCTGTTGGCTGCGGAGTACAGGCAGCCGGAGGTGTTCAGGTTTTTACTCAAGGAAACAAAATTGATAGAAAGCCTGTTTCGAGCCGTGGATGATAATGGTAACAGTGCGTTGCATCTGGCAGCCACCTACCCAAAGTCTATGATTTGGCGCATCTCTGGAGCTGCACTGCAGTTGCAATGGGAAATTAAGTGGTATAAGGTAACCAATATATTCTACAGCTGGATTTGATATGATATGATATGATAAATAATAATTGAAAGTGTTGTGGGCAGTTCGTTAAGGAGTCTATGCCACTCTTCTTTTTTAGCCAGTACAACAAGGAGGGAAAAAATGCAGCCACAATCTTCCGTGAAACCCATATGGGTCTGGTGAAAAGGGCTGGAGCGTGGCTGACTAAAACCTCCAAGTCATGCTGTGTGGTGGGTACCCTGATTGTAACCGTGGCTTTTACTTCCGCGGCCAGCATCCCAGGTGGGTTTAACCCCAGCAGCGGCACCCCTTTTCTTGAAACACAGACACCCTTCTTAATCTTCGCCGTCTTTTCCCTCATTGCCCTCTGCCTCTCTTCAACCTCAGTCACCATGTTTCTAGCCATCTTGAGCTACAGGTTTGATACCTATGATTTCAGAACAAACTTGCCTTCCAAACTCTTGATCGGCCTTCTCTTACTTTTCCTTTCCATCATCTCCATGTTGGTTTCATTTTGTGCGGGCCACTACTTTCTTATGCATCGCCACATTCGACACAATATTGCTCTGCTCTACACATTTGTTTGTCTCCCCGTCGCATTCATCTATCTTCTAGCCAAGTTTCATCTCTACATGGATATGCTGCTCACATTTTTCAAAAAAGTGCCCAGCAGGAGCGCAGCATCGTCCTATTTGATCCGCTAGCACCCCACATTCCTGGGTGGAGGCAGTGCTATCAAGAATTATCCATTTTCGGCGGTGATTGGGTTTGTTCCTGTGCCAGGAACCAAACACAGATATGTTTAATATGTATTTTGAATCCTTCCAAGGGTTGTTTTAAAATATGAAAGATTATGCAGACGACATTAGTTTAGAGATGATCATCTCCCAGGAGAGAGTGTTTAATTTCCTAAACATCTATTTTAAAATGTGTTCTCTCATAGTTTCGTACCACAACAATTATGTTCCTTGGGTATAAGTTCCCAAATTTTGTGTCACCGGCGAATCTTCCACCAACTCTTTCCAATCTCTATTGTATAACCTCTGTCGTCCGTTCATCTCCTACTAGAGAGTTTGTATAATACCCTCTGTCGTTCGTTAATCTCCTACTAAAGAGTTTGTATAATAACCTCTGTCGTCCGTTAAGCTCCTACTAGAGAGTTTGTATGGTAGGCAGACTTCTCCTTTTTCATTAATCTCAAATCATTTGTTATTGACAAAATACACCTTCCTCACGTTTCTACATTTTTCTAAATTTGAAATTTCGAAACTGTTCAAGACAAATGAAAATATGCTCATGAATCCACAATCCAAGATTCAGGAGAGTTGTCATCCGAGCATCCTCAGTATATTCTATTGGATATAGAGAATCATGGCCATCTCCAAATTTGTGATTCTACTGTCTTGATTTTGTACAATCAATTCGAAGGTGCCCGTTTTCTCCATAATTCCAATATGTTAGGTTTGGTCTATTTGAAGAATTTCCTCAATTTTTTTTAGTTTGATCGGTCACTATTTGGGCACTTTGATTTACTTCTTCCCCTCCCGACGAATCTCCAATTTTACATTTGCACATACTTTTGTTGAGAACTACGTCTCAAATTTCGTCAAACTTCAGTTTCTCAAATCCTCGGGAACTACTAATCACAGCAACAACAATGTCCTACGACTCGGGTAAAGATGCCTTCAAAATCAATGCGTATAAAGTACACCTTGTTCATAGCCAACCATTTTTCATACATATTTGACAACACCTTCAATAGATCCTATGTTTTCTTCTCCTTGATGATGTTGAATGCCACGTTTCTGGACAGCGTCAATTTTATCAACTCTAGAGCCTGTCGATCCTTGAACTTCTACTGCTCCATGGTCATGGTATCAGGCTTCACCCCGAACAAGGGTTCGTGAAGATTTTTCTAGTACAAATAGTCTTCAATCTGCATTTTTTCAAAAACTAAAATCGGATCCATCAAACTTCTCAATTTCAATTTTTGAGTTTTCCATCTTTACACTTCGTGGTGAATATCTCCGAGCTTTGATACAAGCTGTTAAGATTTGTCATGATCCAATATTTTACTATTAGCCGTGACTCAAAACGACAACATGAATGTAAAGAAAATCGTTGAAAATGCATTAAGGCGAAATCATTTATTCCAAGTAAAAGAAATTGCAATACAAAGGTTCAACCAATTAAAAGTTTTGGAAACAAAATACTAGAATTCAAATATAAAAGAAAAGACTAGACTGACGCCCCGGGTTATGCATTCCTCTGTGACAATCCACCTCTCTGATCACGCCCTATCTTGACCCAATGCCTCACGCACCTGAAAAAAAGATATAGTAGGGATGAGTACAAAATTATACTCGGTAAGGCTTCTACTTGTAGGCTCTCGTCACATCCTAATCTTAATAGACAAACATGGGATTCTCATTGGCTCTACGGTGTCTGGTTCTAATCTTAGCCCCTTGAGAGTTCTATGGTTCTCCATCCTTTCATTTGATACCTAAAAGTTTCTTATGCCAAGTTGTAATGATCGATGTCTCTCTATGAGGCGCTACCTCTGCATGGCTACTGAAACCTACATGGTATCTTGCCTAGGGGTGTGTTGAGTACCTCCTAAGCCCATAATAGTCTCCCTACAGGGGGCGCGACCCAACCCGTTCCCATGCAGCTAATGGATTGTATGACGTGGGGACACATTTCCTATGCGAAATGGTTAGGAGAAGTAAGAACTGATAAGGAACCCCTAGTCCTCCCACGAAGCTATGAGTCAAGACCCGATTTTCAAGGCTTCGAAAATCAGACCGTGAACTAAAAGACGAAATCGAAAATAAACAAAAAGAAAATAGAAGAAGAGAAAAGTAAAAAGATAAAAACTCCATTTGGTTAAAACAAGAGAGAGAAGATTTGTTTCGAAATTATTACAAAGAAAATTACAAATGTAAAATGAAACACAAAAGACTCGAAAAGACCGACAAGGGACTGACGCTCCGGAACGACCCCCTCTGTGACCGCACAGCTCTCGAACGCTCCTCCACCTCGACCAGCACCTAAAAAAAAAAGGGTAAAAGGAATGAGTATAAAAATTATACTCAGTAAGCCACCTACTTGTAGGCTCTCGTCGCACCCTAAACTTAACAAACAACCACGGACTTTCCTTTGGCTCTAGATCATCTGATTCTGGTCTTAGCTCATTAGGGCTTCCCCCTAGGGACTTGCCCCCTTCGGGCTTCTTTGGTTCTTAGATCTTCTATTTATACCCCTAGAGTTCCTTTTATGCTAACCCGTGTCGGACTGGTGCCTTGCGAGTGGCTACCTCGGCATGGGTATGAGATTACTTGGGGTCTTGCCTAGGAAGTGAGCTGCAACCCCCTAGCCCCATGGTAATCCCCCTGTATTTGGGAGGGCTACCTCCCCTATTCCATCCAGCTAAACGGTCAATTACGACGTGGGTATCCCGTTTCCCATACTAAACGGCTATCGAGCAGTCGAGTCCTGATCAGGAACCCGCTGGTCCCCCACGAAGCTATATCACCATCCACACACAAGTAGCCTAAGGGTACTCTAGAGGTGGCTCGTATGCCGTGGTGGTCTGTTAGCCTACTGGGGAATGTTAGGTCTTATACCTTAGTGTCTTGTTACTCTAACCACATATCCCTAGACTTTATCATTCTCGTGGGACGTGGAAATTAACTGAGTGTGCACACAACTATCATCCAGCATCATCATGCAAAATAAACATACATGCTCAACGGGGCCATGACATCCGTCAAATCCCGGAGCGCAGAGTTCACAAGTTCCTATTCTCCTTTCAGCATGAATTAAACATTTACATATAAAGCGGAAGCTTAGAACATAATAGCAACACTCAGATAATTTTCGTAATATTTCACATAATACATCCATACTCTTAACAATCAAATTACTTACATTCAATCATGGAAAAATACCACCTAAGGTAATTAAACTAGCATGCATGCATAACCAAGCGACTCCTGCAAGTATTTCTTCCTAAAGTTCCAGGTGGTGACTTACCCGATTGACGCGTGTTCTTCGTTGAGCATTTCTACACCAGTAGAGTGTCCACAAATACTGAATTTTCTCATTTAAACCCTCACGCGCTCACACGCGCCTGGGAAGGAGCTACACGCGCACGGCCACGCGCGCGTACGGACGCGCATGAGGGAGGGGAGACGCGCGCTGAGGTGTTGCCACGTGGCGCCCCGATGAACGGTCAGCCGAGGTCGAGGTCGTCGGTTCGAAACCGGAAGGACGCGCTGGAAATTCGAATTCTTTTACGCTGACGCGTGGCAACGAGAAGCCGGGTCGGTGGTCCGGGTTGCGCGCGGGTCATCGGGTCGCGAACTCGAGTAGCGGGCCGCCGGCCATCGAATCCCGCCCGACGCGAAGTATTTCTTTGATTTTTTTTCTTCTCCAATGGACGCTTGACACGTGGCCCTTCTCCTCCGGCGAAGCGCAGCCTCCTCCTTTCTCCTGCGATTTCCAGCATTCGATTACTTTGTTCCATTTTCTTTACATTTTCACATTTCGTTCTACCTAACTCGGATCAACATGGTTCTTTCACGAGATTTGTAGAGCGTATATTCATCTTTAGGCAGGTATTTTTCTTGTAATTTATTTCTAATCCCCGGGATAATTACCTTAGTCCGAAAATGGCAAGAAACATCAATACCTACCTCTTTGACGAACGCCGAAACTCCCATTTCCGATCTGAATCGATTACAACTTCCTTCTCAGGTTTTGAGCGTAATCCTCTGTAGATTAACATACTCAAATTTCAGGCTCTAACTCTTACTATATCTCAGAGATCTGAAGCAATTTCGAGAATCTGGATTCAAGAACTTTACCTTTAGATTTTTCCTCATTTCTTGATGGTTTTCGATGATCTAAAAGTTAAGAATGTTCTCTTCTAAGTTCTGTGAAGATTTCATGAAGAAGGCTCGGCCGGAACCGGACTCCTCGTGGCCGGAGCGGCGGCTACCTCCTTCTCTCTCTCTAGAACTTTCCTCCTCTCTCTATAATTTTCTTTCTCCCTATTTCTATTCCTTTCTTTCCGGCCGTTTTTCCTTCTCTTCCCTTTCTCTTTTTTTTTTTTTTTTTTTTTTTGTTTTTTCCTTTATGGAGGGTATAATGACCAAATTACCCTCCGGGATTAACCATGACCATCCTTCTAATTTTCTATCATTTTTTTTTTTTTTTTTCTTAACTTCTTCTTTTATTTCAAATCATCTTTCTCTTGGGCTGCATCTCGGATTTTGGTCCCTAAAACCTTCAATAAAATTGAGAGAGATCGACTTTCAAGGTAAACTTAGATTTTAAACTTTCCATTGTAGTTCGGGTATTACACTATGAATACCATTCACACAACTAGCAGCCTAAGAACACTCCTAAGGTACTCGCCGTGGTGATCTGCTAGGCTCCTAGGGACGGGATTAATCTAAGCTAAGTGACTTGTCCCTCTGTTTCATGGATCCCTAGGCTTATCATTGTAACGCTTCCTAAACATTATCAAGGTGGTGCAAACATCAAGAACTAGATACATTATACATAGTTTATACAAAATAGGCAATCGTGCTCAACGGGGCAATAACATCCATCAACACCCGGAATGCAGAGTTTACAATTTTCCCATCCTCCTTTTAGCATGCATAAGCAAATACATATTAAGCAGAAGCATTAAACATGGTTAACTTTTCATAGTATATATACTTTGCCACCTAAGCTCATAACATGGAAAAATCTAGTCAACTAAGGAAATTAATCTAGCATGCATGCATACCGAAGCGTTTCCTACAAGTATTTCTTTCTAAGTTCCGTGTGGTGACTTACATGGTTGACGCGTGCCCTTTCGCTAGTGCTTCTAAGCAAGTAGGGTATCCAAAACTATTGATTTTCCTCAATTAGGTCTTTATTCACGTAAAAATATTGTTAGAATTGGAATTGAGATGAAAATCGGACAAACAGAAGTCGAACGGGTCGAAAAGAACCTTACACGCACTGGCCATGCGCCCTCACGCACCGGGAAGGAGGCTAGTAGCAGGCGAACGCGTGAGTACCATGCGCGGGTTGCTTCTGCATAGTTGCGGGTCAGACGCTCCAGTTCGGGTCGATGATTTGGCTTGCTCAAGTGGATCTCAGGTTGGTTTGGCCAACGAGTTGCGGGTCGGGTCGAATCTACTCACAGATCTGGAATCGGGTAGGGCACGTAGGCGACGCGTATCGTCGTTTAGCTGGGTCGCGTTGCTCCAGCCGCAGTCCAATGCGTAACTCTAGCCAATGCCTGACGCGTGTCACAACCCACCATGCCGTGCTTCATCGGTTGCTAGTTGACACGTGGCTGCCGGAAAAATTCTCCTCCCCTCCTATCAAACGAAAACGATGGATTGATGAGTTTTCTTTAATCTTAACATTTTCGATCTACAACTCGAATCAACACGATTCGTTTTGCAAAATTGTAGATCGTAATACCATCTACGCCCTAGTACTTTTTATCGTTCTTGGGGGAGCTCTGACCTTTGCCTTTTCGACCTAAGTTTCTTCACGAAATCAGTGGAAGATGTTAGGTTATGGAGCCTGGTGATTATTTATAGCTTAGTCAAAGTTATACATGGTAAAGTTATATATGGTAAATGACATATAAAAGTAAATTGTCATAAATAGTAAATAGTTATGTTGTTACAGTATAAAATTATAGTAGAATATACTGTAAATAGTTATATAGAATATGGTTATATCTGGTAAAGTTATATATATAGTAAGCTGAACCATATATAATCTACTTAGCAAGAGCGAAAATTACTTTTTATATTCTCTGTATTCTCTCTTACTTACGGAACAAATCTGTAGTTATCAACATAAAACCTTTAGCCAATATTCTTTTTGCATTTTCTCTTTAGTTGTGTTCATCTAGAACAAAAGAGAGTAAATGGAAGGAGAAATATTCGCGATGAAATAAAGTAAAATCAATTGAAAACTCTTTTTCTTTAGTTTCTTAAATTATCAACCAACTAGAGTGCTACAGGAAGACCCTTCCAAAATGGGTCACTCAAAAATAACACTTTTATCACACAATCGGATGATTAATCATATCATGTTGTTGAAAAACTTTGAACTACTAGGGTTTGCTTCGTGCTCATGAACAAAAGGACCTTAAAAAACAAGCTTATACTATACTATACTATAATATAATATATATTCTTTTTCTTATTTGTAATAATATAAAGATTAAAACCAAGCTTTTAAAAGGGAAGGAATCAAAATGGAAATACAAATTTAAAACAAACAAACAATATTTACTAATTAAAGAAGAGAAGAAAACAAGAAAAGAAAAAAAAAAAAAAGAGGGTTGATTATAGGTGTTTATAGAATATTTAATTTTTATTATATATAATTATTATTAATGGACCCCTTTTGTAAAACCAAAGCATACTGACATGAGACTATCACAAAATTCTTACCTTCGAATCAAAGTCTTAAGATATAGTAGGTGTACTAAGCACACACTCACTCTACTCAAAATGGCATGTCCGTATGTGGCACACTTAGACGTTGGACATGTGATAATGAGTAGACACAAATACAAAACTTTGCTAGGAATAATCCTTGAATGAAGCTTGTCAATTGCGTTCATTGAAACCTAATTGTGGGTGTTGGAGTGTACACTAGATTAAAGTTGATCGCCACAAAAAAAAAAAAAAAAAAAAAAATAAATAAATAAATGAAGTTATTGAAGCTACTAATAATGCTTGTGGCTTAAGGAGAGAATTTTTGGATACCTAAAGCGTTTATCATCTTTGTTTACTACTTTTACAGAATCCCAAGCGCTGTCGGGGATCCTTATTTATAGGAGTAAGGTACATGATAATAAAGGCCATGTGCATCAATTAAACAACAAACTAAGAGCGAAGAGAATGTCGTCTCATGGTGCCAATACCCCATTGGCAAGGCTTCGTGAAAACGCGATGACGCGGAATTGGAAGCCAGTGATTGAGGCGTATGAGAAAACCCGAGAGGCTCAGAAGCTGAAGCTGAACCAAGAGGGCGACACGGCGCTGCATTTGGCTGTGATTGACAATCAAGAAGAAACAGTGAAAAAACTTGTGGAAAGCGTTAAGAACGACAAAAATAATTACAAGCATATTCTAGAGATTAGAAATGAGAGGGGAAACAATCCTCTCCACCTTGCCGCAATGATGGGGAGCATGAAAATGTGCCACGCCATTGCTCATGCCCATGGGGAGTTGGTGCACGAGAGAAACGAATTGGACGAAACGCCTCTGTACTTGGCGGCTGGGTGCGGCAACAAGGACGTCTTTTTTTACCTTTACTTCCATTGCGGAGAGGACTCATCTAAAATCGAAACCAACTGCAGAGTGAACAAAACGGGAGACACCGTGCTACATCACGCCCTCAGAAACGACCAGTTTGGTGAGCTTTCTTTCCTTTCTCCTCTTCCCAAGTGTGAAGTTTAAAATTAATTGTGCTGAGATGGCAGATTTGGCGTTCCAATTAATTTACATGCACAAGGAGGCTATAAACTGGGTGAATGAGGCAGGCCTAACTCCTATCCATGTTCTAGCCAGTAAGCCAACTTCCTTCAAAAGTGGAAGCCACATCAAAGGATTGCAGCGCATCATCTATCACCGTGAGTTTTTTCACCAAAAGTTTATAGTTTATAAATATAGGTATGGTGGTAACATAGTACTACAAATGTTTTCAGGCTCATTTGTGAAACCACTACAGCCTCGATCGATTGAGAAGCTGAAGCAAGAGTCGGAGCGAAGTACGGAGAAAGCAAAAGAGACAGCTCCTCCTTCCCCTTTTCCGGTTAACTACCAGACATGCATCCACTTTTTTAGGGGGATGAAGGATGTATTTTTGAGAGGTGGGTATACGTATTATCTTAATATATCCTTCTCCTACTAATCTCACAACCTACATAATATTTTCTCCTACCCAAACATACAGTCTGGCATTTCAAATGCGACAACAAGAATGACACGAACAATGTTGGAGACGAGAAGAAGAACAATACCAAAAATGATGGAGACAAGAGGACCGGAGACTTGGAAGAACAGAAGCCTCTGAACACTAAATCAGGTTTATGTATACGCAACAAGCTTTACAACTTCAGTTCAACCCTCTCAAACTTATATTCATATGTAACATAACATTCATTGTTGTTGATGGCAGCCAGAGATCCCCCAACTACAAACTTCCCCGTAAACTACACCACATGCATCGATTTTTTTCATATTGCTTTCTCGGCCATCATGATCATTTTTGGATGCGGTATGTATTAGGCATTGCTGAATACAAGTGGGGTTGAGTCTAATTAATGCTGCTTCTCCAAAATTAAATGCAGGAACCAATGAAATCAAAAGGATACGGAAGGAAAAAGAGAAGCACACTTGGGCGGTTCAAGTGATGAACCAACTTCTTGAGTTGGTTAAAGACTATAAATATGGAGAAGATGGAAAAAGTCCCATGGATTTCAGATTTCAGAACCAGAAAGAAGAAGAGAAAGATACAGTTCCTTACGACTTTGTAGATGATGTGGTCGGATTCCGTCATTTGTTTGAGGAACCAAAACAATTAGAGGTGCCCAAACAATCGGGGAAGCCCAAAGATGTGGAAGGTTTGCTACTTTTTTGTTATTTATTTTGTGTTGGTTTGTAGATGTATGATTAATTATATACTAGATTGTGATATGAACAGCAACCGAGTCGGCGATGTTATTAGCAGCAAAGAATGGAGTGGTTGAGATTGTGAAGGGAATGTCCAGTCGTATTCCGCTTGCTATCTATGATACTAACAAAGATAAGAAGAATGTGGTGCTGTTGGCTGCGGAGTACAGGCAGCCGGAGGTGTACAGGTTTTTACTCAAGGAAAGAAAAAGGATAGAAAGCCTGTTTCGAGCGGTGGATCATAAGGGCAACAGCGCCTTACATCTCGCAGCAACCGCCAGAGATCCAAAGCTTTGGCGCATCACTGGAGATGCATTACGGTTGCAGTGGGAAGTTAAGTGGTATAAAGTAAGTATTCACAATACATATATACAGAGCCTTTTCTATTAAGGAAAAAAAAAAATGACAAGTGATTGAATGGAAATTTTTTGCAGTACGTGAAGGAGTCTGTGCCACTCCATGTGTTTCCCCACTGGAACAAGGAAGGAAAAACTGCAAATGCACTCTTCCAGGAAACCCACGAGAAACTTGCGAAAAAGGGTGGAAAGTGGCTTTACGATACCTCGGATTCATTCACTTTGGTGGCGACTCTGATTGCAACAGTAGCTTTTGCAACCGCAGTAACCATCCCAGGCGGCAACGACGAGAATGGTGGTGCAATACTTGGACAGGAGCTAGGGTTTTCAATCTTCTCCTACTCTTCCCTAATTGCTCTCTTCCTCTCTTCAACCTCAGTCATCATGTTTCTAGCCATCATGACCTCCAGGTTCAATATCAAAGACTTCGGGTTAGTGTTGCCCTGGAAATTGCTGATCGGCTTGTGCTGCCTCTACTTTTCCATCATCGCCATGTTGGTTTCCTTCTGTTCGGGGCACTACTTTCTGATCAGCAACCGTCTTCGCAACGAAGCCATTCTGCTGTATTCACTTACTTTCATCCCAGTGGCAGTGATCTTCGCTGTTGTGCAGCTTCCTCTCTACTTCGATTTGGTGCAGACTCTTCTCCAAACTGTGCCTACAAGAAGCGCCGAAGTGGTGCTACGCGATTTGATGCACAGTAGTAAAGCAAACGAAGAACATGATGATGATGATGAAAATGGGTCAACAGATATGTCGGAAACAGACGACTAAAGCCGAAAAAACAACTTGAGGAGAGATTGTTTGGAAGAAGTAAAAGCACTTGTGCTTTTTTGAATTCTGTCTGTCGGATCTAAACTAATTCCATTAATAGCTCACATATCATTTGTGTTTAAATTTATTATTGAATGAAGAGGATTGGTGTTTTGAATGAATTTATTGATGTGTTTCCTTTTTGTGGAGTTGTTTCAGAGATTAATGAATTTATTTATTTTTTTATATAATATATATACACACACACTCTTGGTATCTTATGTTTTGGATATAAAATAAGAGGAAATTAGAAAATTGAAAACGGTGAAGTAGTACACCTTTGTTTGAATACAAAGAAAAGGAAAAAGAAAAAGAAAAAGAAAAAGAAAAAACAATCATTGTTACATTTACAAATAAAAAAGAAGGCAAACCCAAAGTAATGGAAGATTCAAAACTTGATGCTCAAGCACAATGAAAACCCACCTCTTTCCCTTGGTTTCACAAAAAAAAAAAAAAAAAAAAAAAGGTATTTACGAGAGAGTTGGGAGAAGAAACAGCAAAGAAATGGAGATAGAAAGGTTGAAGAAATTTGTGTTCGAAAACGCCATGAAAGGAAGATGGGAAGAAGTGGTGGAGAAGTACTCCACGGATGCAAGAGCTCGCGGTCTGAAAATCACTAAGCGAGGGGACACGGCGCTGCACGTGGCAGTGAGCGACGGCCAAGTTGGCGTAGTGGAAAAACTGGTCACAATAATAATCTCGGAGGACAAAGGCAACACCAAGAAAGTGCTTGAAATGGGAAACGACAGAGGCAATACCGCGCTTCACATTGCGGCTACGCTTGGGAATGTGAAGATGTGTTACGACATAGCGTCGGTTGAGGCTTCCTTGGTGGGAATTCGAAACCACGAGGGCGAGACACCGCTCTTCTCCGCGGCTCTGCATGGCAACAAAGATGCTTTCCTTTGCCTCGACGCCTTCTGCACCTGCACCATCGACCACTGTCGAAGATCCAACGACGGCCACACCATTCTTCATTGCGCCATTTTGGGTGATTTCTTTGGTCAGTTTTCTCTATTCATTCCCTCTCTTTCTTGTATATATGTGAGTCGCTGTTTATTTATTTTGATTTTGATTTTGAACAGAGCTGGCAGTTCATATCATAGAACTGTACAAGGAACTGGTGGAGTTTGTGAATGTCCAAGGTTTTACTCCACTCCATCTTCTTGCCACCAAGCCTTCCGCTTTCAAGAGTGGAACTCACTTGGGAAGATGGAAGATGATCGTTTATCACTGTAACTATTTCTATACCGATACTTCCAAATATGTCTTACTTCCGCAACAGCTAAACTACACTTAAAATTCAATTTTATATCAGGTATCTTTGTGGACCAAATAAAGGTGGAACCACACTCATTTCGTCACGCTCTACCCAAGAAGCCACTATCACTGCACCAACGACCCTCGTATCCAAACCATCACAAGTGTTATCCAGCCAACTACAGCACATGCGCCCACTTCTTCCGTTTTCTGTGGAAAGGAATTGGAATGGGTCAAGCTTCTGTCTTGGGTCATGTCTTACAGCCTAAGCAATTATTAACATTTTACTATATAATTCACTCTTCGGCCTTTTTCTTTGTAGTGTTTACTGTGGGGACAACAAACAAAAAACCCAACAGCACCACAGATGCAGATGCAGAGAATCCTCCTCAACAAAAAGGTTGTTTGAAGTAACCATCAATATATATATATTATTACAGATGCATGTCTTGAATTCTCGTGAATTACAGGGCATGATTCAATGGTCAAACATCATGAGCTCGCAATTCTCCCCCAAAATTATGCCACATGTTTCAACTTTCTGAAAATGGCTTCCAAGGCAGTGCTCATAGTGATGGGGCTAGGTAGTCTAAAACCCACCACTAACTATTCTCACCTTCATTAACAAGTGTATTAATGGAACTTTGTGTGGAAGGCTCTGCACAAATAAAAAAGATTCAGGAGAAGAAGGAGAAGCACACTTGGGCTGTCCAAGTTATGAACCAACTTCTACAGTGTGCTTCAATGTATGAATATGATGACAATGGAGGTTCACCTACGGGAGCCAAAGAAGAGGAAGAAGAAGAAGAAGAAGAAACACAGCCTTATCACTTCGCCAACGGCTGTGTCACCTTCGATGATTACAACATCTCTGGACATCCAACCCATCATCTTCAACCTCCCACGGATTCTCCCCAACAACCAAACATGCCGTCCCCCGAGGAGATTAATGACGGTATACAATAATATTTGTAGCTTCTTTCAAACAACTCAGTAAAACGAATGTTGAATAGCTGATGTGGATGGATTTTGTGTTGGTGGTAGCAGAAGAGAAAGAAGAAGGAACAAACATTGTTATAGAATCGAATGGTGGGTTGGTTGGTAAAATCCACAAACATATTCCTCCAACTATTGGAGACAAAAAAGTGGTTACCACAGCTGCAGCAGCCGCAGGGAGAACAACAGAGACGCCTGTGTTGATTGCAGCAAAGAATGGTGTGGTGGAGATGGTGGAGAAAATCCTCCATCTATTTCCTGTGGCCATCCATGATCTAAACGCGGATGGGAAGAACATTGTGTTGTTGGCTGTGGAGAATAGGCAACCTCACGTCTACCAACTATTGGTGGAGAAAAATATTGTGAAACAGAGTGCCTTTCGAGTTGTGGATTCTCAAGGCAACAGCGCGTTGCACCTTGCAGCAAAGCTGGGAGATCATAAGCCTTGGCTCATCCCCGGAGCTGCCTTGCAAATGCAATGGGAACTTAAATGGTATCAGGTAATTTCGGGGGCTTTTAAGTACTTATTTATCACCATTCTGCTCCACTTCCTTTGACCAGTGTTACCACCATTGTGATGATAGTATGTGAAGGGATCGATGCCCCCAAACTTTTTCCCCCACTATAACAAGGACCGAAAGACTGCAAGACTTATCTTATCCGAGACCCATACTGAGCTGGTGGAAAACGGGGGGAAGTGGCTTACAAGCACCTCGGAGTCCTGCTCTTTGGTGGCTGCCCTGATTGCAACCGTCGCTTTCGCCACCGCCGCCACCGTCCCGGGTGGGAACGATCCAAAAGGCACGCCATTGCTCCACGGGCAACCCGCCTTCAACGTATTTGCGATCGCGTCTCTGATTGCACTCTCTTGCTCGGTGACGGCATTGGTGATGTTTCTGTCCATCTTGACGTCGAGGTTCCAAGAAAAGGACTTCGGAGGCAATCTGCCGAGGAAGCTTCTGGTGGGTTTATCGACCCTTTTCGTGTCGATTGCAGCAATGCTGGTTTCGTTTTGTGCGGGGCATTACTTTGTGCTAAGTGAAAAGCTTCAATATGCTGCATTGCCAGTGTACGCTGTGACTTGCTTGCCAGTCACATTGTTTGCAATTGCACAGTTTCCTCTATATATGGATCTGGTGTGGGCTACTGTGAAGAATGTCCCTCAGAGGAGTTATTCCGTCGTCACCTAGACCTACACTCACTCTTCTCGCCCATCTAAATAATTGTTTCCATGTGCGCACTCATACATTGTATCAGCATGCTTTCCCCGAAAAATTATTATTATTATTATTATTATTATTATTTTAATTTTATTATTAATAATACGTTATATGTATGTATAATGGTGGAAGGAACAAAAATAAAAAATATTTGTGGCATGCCAACAATTGAAATATAAAAAATATATCTAAAAACGACATCGTTTTAGCAATGCCTTGGCCTTTGTCAGGGTTGGGAAATTCCGGCAGTTAAAAAGAAAAGGATTTTGTCTAAATTTTGATTATTTATTTAATTTTTTTTTTCTTCTAACCATTTTTGTTTCCCCTAACGAAAAGAAAACAGTGGCTGCAATCTTTTCTGGACTTCCAACGGAAAGAACGTGAGAAAGGAAGACAAAAAGAAGACAACTTTCCTTTTCACCAAACGCGAATTAAAAAAAAAAAAAAAAAAAAAAAAACAAAGGCTCAAAAGATGTTCGAGGCTAAAATTTTCGTTTTCGCCTCTTTCAATCCGATCTTCACGATTCCAGAGCTCACCTTGTAATCTCCGATTTTTCCACATCTATGAAGGACTTGGATGGATCATTTTCTGGATTTCTTCCTTGCGCTTCTGGGAGAGGGATCTTACATAATTCCCGGTGATTGTTTCGCCCTACTTTTCTTTACATCTTAATCACACTAATCCTTGTTCATTTCTCTATACTCAAAACGGTGATTCACTGCAATTTTTTATTATCCTTACCGTCTATGCTGGTGACCGTCCCTAAAGACAAGGTTGTTTTTTTTTTTTTTTTTTTTTTTTTTTTTTTTCCCTTCGATTCGTTTTCTTTTCCTTTGGAAGATTCTGAGCTGCTTTTTCGTAGTCCGAGAATATTTTTGATATGGAGCTTTGAATTGTTGAGCATGTAATTCCCCGACCAGATTAGGTTTTTGCGATCTGACGATTTGTTTTTGTCTGCGATGTATGTTTCAGTATTCTCTCTTATTGGTCCTCGTTAGGTTAGTTCGGTTGGGGAAACGTAGCCATCTGGCATTTTTGGAGATCCGGGAGTCTTGTTGAACTCCCCTGCGCTATGAAGACTTTTTTCCCTTCCGACTCCTGTAAAGAAACGCAGCTCAATGCTTTCTATCCACAGGCTTGGCTCCAGGTTGAGAGAGGGAAATTGTCCAAACTCTCGTTACAATCCTCTTCTTCTTCGATGTAAGCCTGTTTTTTTCTTTTTTTCTTTTTTTCTTTTTTTCCCGCTATTATTTTGTTGTCTATTATTTATTTCAGCAAATTAATTTCTTTGGATTGATTTTATTGTTGTAGAGAATCTCTTATCAAGGTCCCTGAACCATCAATTCTGCCGTACTTCAAACCTGTTGATTATGTGGAAGTTCTAGCTCAAATTCATGAAGAACTTGAGTCATGTCCCGCCCATGAGAGATCGAATCTCTATTTGCTTCAGTTTCAGGTCTTTAGGGGGCTTGGCGAGGTTAAACTTATGCGAAGAAGTCTTCGTTCTGCTTGGCAGAAAGCTAGTATTGTCCATGAGAAGCTTATATTTGGGGCATGGTTAAAATATGAGAAGCAGGGGGAAGAAATTATTGCTGACCTACTTTCCACTTGTGAAAAATGCGCACAAGAGTTTGGACCGGAAGATATTGCTACCCATTTCCCTGTAGATACTGTGTTAGATGCTGGAAGTGTCTATGACACTTGTGCCGCTGATGGGAACCCAGTATCAAAGCATGTCACTTTTAAAATTAATGATGAGGATATTGTTTGTGATAAACAGAAAATTTCAGGTCTCTCAGCTCCTTTTCATGCTATGCTTAATGGGTGCTTCACTGAATCAAACCGTGAGGTCATTGATCTGTCTGAAAACAATCTTTCCCCTTCGGGCATGAGGGCTATAAGGGAGTTCAGCAACACAGGGAATTTGGGTGAAGTTTCTCCAGATCTTTTGTTAGAAATATTGATTTTTGCAAATAAATTTTGTTGCGAAAAGCTCAAAGATGCATGTGACAGAAAACTGGCATCTCTTGTATCCTCTAAAGAAGATGCTTTAGAGCTCATGGACTATGCCCTCGAAGAGGACTGCCATATTCTTGCTGCATCATGCCTGCAAACTTTTCTAAATGATCTCCCTGAATGCTTGAGTGATCATCGTGTGGTGGAAATATTTATGCTTGCTAATAAAAAACAAAGGTCAATTATGGTGGGTCATGCCTCGTTTGCGCTTTATTGTTTGCTAAGTGAAGTTTCCTTATATCTTGATCCTCAATCTGAGAACACTGCTTGTTTCCTAGAAAGGTTGGTGGAATTTGCTGAAACTGATAGGCAGAGACTTTTTGCTTCTCATCAATTGGGATGTGTGAGGCTCTTGAGGAAAGAGTATGATGAAGCTAAACGTCTGTTTGAGGCTGCTTTTAATGCAGGCCATATTTATTCTGCCATTGGGCTGGCTAGGTTAAGTCACATAAATGGTAACAAGCAATGGTCCTATGACAAACTGACTTCAGTCATCTCTACTGTTGTCCCGCTTGGTTGGATGTATCAGGAGAGATCATTATATTGCGATGGCAATAAAAGATTGGCAGATCTTGAGAAAGCAACTGGCTTGGACCCAACTCTGACTTATCCCTATATGTTTAGAGCTGCTTCCTTAATGAGGAAACAAGATGTTCATGCAGCTCTTGCCGAAATCAACCGTATTCTTGGATTTAAACTTGCACTTGAATGCTTGGAACTCCGGTTTTGTTTTTACCTTGCTCTTGAAGATTATCAAGCAGCAATCTGTGACATTCAAGCAATTCTTACTCTCTCCCCTGATTATCGGATGTTTGAGGGAAAAGCAGCTGCATCCCAACTCCGAACTCTTGTACGTGAGCATGTTAACAATTGGACAACAGCAGATTGTTGGATTCAGTTGTATGATAGATGGTCTTCAGTTGATGATATCGGGTCTCTGTCTGTAATCTACCAGATGCTTGAGTCTGATGCAGCAAAAGGTGTCCTATACTTCAGACAGTCCTTGCTTCTTCTGCGGTATGTCATGTCATTAACCTCAGCCTGTAACTTCTTTTTCGTAGATATTTTTGTTTGGTGTCCAGCAATGATTGGCTGGATGCAACTTTCTATAAGCAATTGTTCGAATAGATGGCCTTATTTTTTCTGATAGGTTAATAGGTCACCTATTTGTGTTGAGGCTGTAGATTACTTTTTTTTCCATTTATTATCGTTGTTGAAAAATTGGACATCGAGCTTTAGAAGGCTTTTGAGCGTTTTTTACATGCTGAAATTAGATTTTGGTTGATTTTTGGGCATATGCTAAAAAAATTCAGATAAGGGCATATGCTGAATTAATAACATATAAACTTCATTGTTAAAACTATGCATGTTGAATGCATGACCAACGACAAAATGAGTATATTATGTATTCAGTATTCAGGCTAGTCATTTCATACGTATACATGCTGGCCTTTTCAAAGCAACGAGATAATTTGTTTTTTCCTTTACCTCGCAATGGTAGAGTGCAAGAACATTATTTGCGCTGCAAATATATTTCTACAGTACATGAATAGGAAATTTAGTCTGTATTACTAGCTACTTCTAATTACTTAAATTCTTTAACTCATTAGTATTGCATTTTATATGTACTTCAACAGAACAAAATTTAAAAGAATCAATATTACAACCCCTTGTCTTGAAACGTTTCCATGTCATTGCATATCCCTTCCTGCTTTGGGCCCCACTTTTGTGAAGTGGGAAAGTAATATTTTCCAAGTGACAGTTGAAGATTGCATTCGTTGAAATTTCAGGTTGAACTGCCCTGAAGCTGCCATGCGGAGTTTACAGTTAGCTCGTCAACATGCATCCAGCGAACATGAGAGACTGGTTTATGAGGGTTGGATTTTGTATGATACTGGTCATTGTGAGGAAGGGCTCCAAAAAGCTGAGGAATCAATTAAAATTAGGAGATCCTTTGAAGCCTTCTTCTTGAAGGCCTATGCACTGGCTGACTCAAGCCAAGATCCGTCTTGTTCTTCTACAGTTATTTCCCTCCTAGAAGATGCTCTGAAGTGCCCTTCAGATAGGTTGCGCAAAGGTCAGGTACGGTTTTCTCAATAACCTACATGTTCAGAATGGATTTCCACCAAATAGTATGATGGTTGAAGGATGAACATATTTCTATACCACTTGAGATAAATCTGTGAAATGTCTTATTCAATTAACTAGATATCCTTGAAAACCTTGATATCGTTGTGAGAGAGTGGATCTTACTTTAATTATTTACAATTTGATGCTATATCTGTGATTACCCCTCAGTTCATCATTGCCACTTGGAGACCTTTTCTAGAACTCTGGTCTTTTTAGCTGTTGCCTCTGAATGTTATTTCATTTATCAATTTATAAATTGACCGTTATGTTGGTTGCCAGCCAGAAAATGCTGGAATGACTGTAAGTCTGAAACGTATCAGCAGTGAAGGACTCGTATAGATATGTGGAGTATTAATCTGAAAGTTTAATATTTATTGATGGAATTGATACCACATAAAACATTTCTGTGCATTATCTTCCTGACTAACAAAATCAGAAATCACAGGAATTGAGTGAAGTTGGCGTCTGCGGAATCATCGATGTGATTGGGCAGACTGCTAACTAGTTGTGGCTTGCATTGAAAACGTCTCTTTAAATAGTTTAACTGGCCATTTCTTTTCAGGCTCTGAACAATCTTGGAAGTGTTTATGTTGACTGTGAGAAGCTAGACTTAGCTGCTGATTGCTACATTAATGCCCTCAAAATCCGTCATACTCGAGCCCATCAAGGTCTTGCTCGGGTTCATTATCTGAGGAATGATAAGGCTGCAGCATATGAGGAGATGACCAAACTAATTGAAAAGGCACGTAATAATGCATCTGCATACGAGAAGAGGTCTGAGTATGGTGACCGTGACTTGACAAAAGCTGATCTAGATATGGTCACTCAATTGGATCCTCTTCGGGTGTACCCATACAGATACCGCGCTGCAGGTTGTTATATCCTTTATTTACCCTTGTTT